AAAAAAATTGAAAATTTGGATGACTCTCCAAATTTCATTTGTGTCACATAAATTGAGACAACAAAAATAACATATATTGGGTCCATTTTAATTTATTTGTCTTATTTTTTTTATATTTAAAAATTGCGTAAAAATATTATAAATCATGATAATTGACAACATAAAATATTTCAAAAATGTTGTATGTGGGTAGTCTTATTATGCCTTAAATAGCGTAAAGAAAATACAGATTTGTGATTAAAAAAACTTATTCCTTTATCCATGCAAACAATCGCTTCAAAAACTCGGTTATTAGCCCCAAAACATACCATTTATATTATTGGGCCCGTGCATAGCACGATATGTATATATATATCTCACAAATGGAAAAGTTCCAATCAAGGAAGCAACATATATCATTTACAAATGACTTAAAAAATATTTAAAATTACAATAATTACCAATTTAAAATATTTAAAAGCTATGTAATAAAATAGGTTTACTCTCAGAATTCTATCAGGCTCACATATATTGGGACAGAAAAAATAACACATATCATTTTAAAGTTACCAAAAAAGTATTATAAATAATAATAATTAACAACTTAAAATATCTTAAAGACATTTTAAAAGGGTTAATTTTGTAATTTTATCCATATCACATAAATTAGGACAAAGTGACCAGTAATGTACATTATTTCAAAGTTACATAAAAATATTATAAATCACAATAATTAATAACTTCAAACATTTTTTAAAAATATATGAAAATTTGGATGACTCTCCAAATTTCATTTGTGTCACATAAATTGAGACAACAAAAATAACATATATTGGGTCTATTTTAATTTATTTGTCTTATTTATTTTTTTTTATATTTAAAAATTGCGTAAAAATACTATAAATCGTGATAATTGACAATATAAAATATGTTTTGAAAAAATTCCACTGATTCTTGAAGTGAATCTATCGTAAAAATACTATAAATCATGATAATTGACAACATAAAATATTTCAAAAATGTTGTATGTGGGTAGTCTTATTATGCCTTAAATAGCGTCAAAGAAAGTACATGTTTGTGATAAAAAAACTTATTCCTTTATCCACGCAAACAATCACTTCAAAAACTCGGTTATTAGCCCCAAAACATACCATTTATATTATATAGCACGGGCCACATTATCTAGTATATATATATATACTAGGTTTCCACCGTCCAATCAAATTAATTATTAAGAGAATGATGACACTATATGTAGATAAAAAAATAAAATTGACACGAATGTCAACAATGGACTGCTTTGAATGTAGAAATTAATATTAGAGCTAATGACTGAACTCTTAGGGTGTGTTTGGGGAGTAAAAAAACATTTTCTGTGAAATAATATTTTGTTGAAAAAATAAGTAGTTTCTGATGGTTTGATAAATAAGTAAGAAAATATTATAGAGATGGGTGGGTTGAAGTGGGGAGTGGGGATCCGGGGTGGTCAAAGTGTCGGGGTTAAACGCGATGAGGGATAATGAACTTGAAATGTTATAGAATTTATTTTTCCTATTTTTTAGGAAAGTTTTTTTTTATTCTTAAGAAATTTACAGCAACAACATACTTCGTGTAATATCAAAAGTGGTAATCTGAAAATGATAGTGTACTGCAAAGACCTTACCTCTATCTTATGAAGGTAGAAAATTGTTTTTAGTACACCACCAACTCAAGTTAGTCAATTCAAAGCAGGTTTCAAAAGGAAATATAATAGTGAATAAACCCATGATGAAAATAGTGGGAAAAAATAAAATTTTTAAGTTAACTAAACATGAAAAAATTGAATAATTTTATTCTATATTTTTTTCAAAAATTGTTTTCCTCCATTCCAAACACACCCTACAATATCCCTATAAATACTATCTTAAACTTTCATTAAAGCACACACCTCAGAACATTAATTCATCTTATCCTTAGCTCTTTTAATTTCCTTTTTGTTCAAAAGCAAATATAAATCAAAAAAACATCATGGGTGTGAATACCTATACTTGTGAGTCAACGACCACAATTTCCCCTACAAGACTATTCAAAGCTTTGGTTCTTGATTTTGACAACCTTGTACCTAAATTGTTGTCACAACATGTTAAGAACAATGAGACTATTGAGGGAGATGGTGGTGTTGGAAGCATCAAGCAAATGAACTTTGTTGAAGGTTTGTTTTATGTTTTTTTTTCTTCACTCGGTGTCTGTTATTTTTATTGGAGCTCGACATACTGATTACTTAGATGAACTTTTATTTTCTTTGGGCAAAAGCTTGTTTTTGAAAATAATTTTTACACTACCATATCATCTTTACATATTGTAACAATAACATATCTTACTTTCAAGATTTCAAATCGCATGCTATTAGAAGACATATCTATCAATAGAGGTAACAAATTTAGTCCACAAAAATATAACCCGCCCAACTCACTCACGTTCGGACAAGTTATTGACCAACTCATTTATTAGCTCATGAGCCCATCAAATATTGGATTAATATATAATCTAAATTGACTCATGAAAAATCTTATCAGAATATTTTCAAAGAAAATACTTATATAAGGTACTAAAAAACTATAAATGAATAAATAAAGCAATTAAAACTAATAATAATTCGATAGGTTGGTTGTGACTTTTATTATAGATCAGTTTAGTACAAGCAATTTTTGGACGGATCAATAATTCGATCATTTATATATTAACTTAATCTAATTTGACCTGCTCAAATTCAATCCAACTCATTTAGTTAACACATGTACCTATAGTCTATAGATATTATTCTTCGAATGATCTGATAGCACCGATATTATTAATATATGAAACTTAATTATTATTTTTTGTTGATGGCAGGTGGTCCAATTAAATACTTGAAACACAAGATTCATGTGATTGATGACAAGAACTTAGAAACAAAATATTCACTTATAGAAGGTGATGTTCTTGGAGACAAATTGGAATCAATTACCTATGATATCAAATTTGAAGCTTATGATAATGGAGGTTGTGTTTACAAGACAACAACTGAGTATCACACAAAGGGTGATTATGTTGTTACTGAAGAAGAACACAATGTAGGCAAAGAGAGAATCATGAATATTTCCAAGGCTGTAGAAGCATACCTTCTCGCGAATCCTTCTGTCTACGCTTAAATATTGATGAAAAAGAATCAGGTCTACACGTGAGAGATCACGTACGTGTTGTGATATTAAATAATTTAAAATGTGTGTGTTATTTCTAAGAAGTTTAAACTCTTAGATGAGAGACGTAAAAGTTGAATGATTGATATATGGAGTTGTTTCAATTCTTCCAAGGGCTTGATGAGTGTTACATTGTTATAGTTTTTTGTTGTGTGTTGTGTGTTTTCCAAGTGTATGTCATGGAAAGAACTTTCAATAAAGAATATTTTACTCTGGGGGACTCGAACCCGAGACTTCTGATTAAGGATGAATGAGTATTTATCAGTTATCACTCCACCACAACCCTCGTTGATAGATTGGTGAGTTCTGTTGTTGTTATTTGCACTACACGTACAAGCATACTTAGATGGAGCAAATAGCAATGTAGAAGGACCATGTAAAAAATAGTGACAAAAACTATATGCATTATTATACATAATTCACTAAGAAACACGTACGTGAATAAAAATAGATACGAAAAAAAATTGAAAGAGTAATTTTAAAAGAGTTTAAGTTTTGTGCATCGTCAGTGTACAAAATTTTTTACACCATCAGTTACTTTTAATGAGATTTAACCATAGTATTAATAAAATAACATTTACTAAAAAAAACATCAACAAGGTAGTTGAATCAGACTTGGATTCTAACCAAAATTATTTTCATAACTAAATTATTTTCTTCCAAAGTACGTCACTTTCTTCTCAGGGAACTTCAACTCTTATATTTTGCTCATCTACGTTTAACTTTTCCATTAATCTTGCAAATTACAATTATAAATGTTAGATAGCTTACAATTAATTATAAATCTGATCATATAAATAGTCAACACGTTTACTGTAAAATATATTTAATATTAGTGAAAGTTCAATAAATAAACTCCTTCCCAATAATCTAAAGAACAGAGCTCAAGTATTGGGGACAATATGAAAACACTTTAAGATACAATATTCACCTTTCAGGAGACTATGTTCGCTTGTTTTTAGTGCATTGAAATTCTTTTGCTCGTGAAGATATGTTTAAAAGGGCCTTTTTTATGTTTCTAAATGAGAAAAATGTGAAATTTTTTCTAATTGCATGACGATATATCACTAAGTAGAAGAAGCGTGTCAAGTTTCAAAATTGTTTGACACTTTAAAAATTATTTCTTATCGGTTGTCGGTTGACAATGTTTGATGTTGTGAAAAAGTTTGATGCTGTGAAGAATTACAAGAGCTATAGAAAAAAGTGAAAAACCTACGATAAACATAGTAATTGTAATTAACTTTGAAAAAAGAATAATTAATTATGGAAATAATTTTGGTTAGAATCCAAGTATGATTCAACTACCTGTTGATGTTCTTTTTTTAAAGTAAATTGTTGATTTTCCTTTTTCATGAATTATGGTTATTTTATTAAAATAAGTTACTATGGTTAAATCTCATTAAAAGGAACTAATGATGGTGTAGAAATTTTTTTACACCGACGATGCACAAAACTTAAACTCATTTTAAAATCTTGACCAAACATAAATTACCGTTTTAATTAATAAAGAACTGCTTTTCAAATTGATCGATCAAGTAGAAACTACCATTCCTCAAAAGTTCAAAACTTTCATAAAAAATTGTAATAAAAAATACTTTTCAAAACAATTAGATTCTTAAAAGTTTCGCCAAACAGTATTATATTATGGGTAATGTTAAATTGCCAGAAAATTTGGTCAGAACAAAAATTTAAAAAGTTTCTGATATCTTTTTTATTTTAAAATAAACTGATCTTTTTTTAATTTTTTAAAAGTTAAAAGGATAAAAATATTTAAAAAGATAAAATATTATTCTGGCCAATTCTAGCTAAATTTTCTGGCCAAAATGATTTTTCCTTATATTATCAGAGTCACAATTAAGTGAGGAAATACTAAAAATAATTGATTTCCCACTTTGATTTGAAAGAAAAACTTTTTTGTCGAGATGTGGAATTTCGATCCACCTCAATTTTCAAGGCATAAAAATTAATAGAGGTATGTATAGTTCATTTGAGGTGAGTTATACATATATTAACCCCGTCTATTTTTAATTGTCATAGTTTTTTTTTTAGTCAAACTATAAAAACTTTGCCTAACATTTTATAATGTATTTTTTTCATTATATTGATATGCAAAAAAATGCAATTTATAGTACTTTTTGAATAGTTTTTGAATATCTAAATTTTTTGTTTAAAATATCAAATTAATGTTATCTAATTTAACTTTAAAAATTAGTTAAATTGATTTTTGAAAAACGCAGCACGACAAATAAAAGTGGATAGAGGGAGTATTATATTATGTATAAATAATATTATATTTGATATAGTTGGTTAGGAATAATTTTTATAATATGATGTATAGTTTTGCAATTTAAAAATTCGAACATCTTGATATATGTGTAAATTACGGGGAAATTTATATATTTAATATTATTTTATGAAAAATAGGGGACAAAATAAATAATAGAATAATACAATAATATATATACCTAGTTGCAGCAAGATTTAGAAAAACGTTGTATATTTCTATCTCATCAAATATAAAATAACATGAACATGCTATATTACCTTTATCTTATTCTAAATTTCTAATAACACTATATGCAATCAAACATGACCTTTAGTCATCGATATAAATTAGAATGAATTGAAATGGTTATAATTGCACCATCTTAATATTAAATCTCGAGATTTAAGCTATAGATTTTTTTAAAAAAAATTATTAAAATTAATGCCCTCAAAATAAGCCTGCAAATAGAAATTTGAATTAATCAAATTTCAATTCACGTAGAAAATATGACCTTTGTTAGTTCTTTTTAAATCGATAGTAGAAAGGTTGAGTGCATACAAAATCGCCACTTTCACATTACCAATTGGTTTTTACTTAGTCAAGATTTCATCAACTCCAAAGATTTTAGTATAAGACAATGTTTGGCTTAGTCAATAAGATGTAGACATTTAAAAGATTTTTCTAAAGATAATATAAACTATATAGTATATAGTACTATATACTATATATCTTTGTCCCCTCTCAGAAAAATCTTTTAAATGTCTACATCTTATTGACTAAGCCAAACATTGTCTTATACTAAAATCTTTGGAGTTGATGAAATCTTGACTAAGTAAAAACCAATTGGTAATGTGAAAGTGGCGATTTTGTATGCACTCAACCTTTCTACTATCGATTTAAAAAGAACTAACAAAGGTCATATTTTCTACGTGAATTGAAATTTGATTAATTCAAATTTCTATTTGCAGGCTTATTTTGAGGGCATTAATTTTAATAATTTTTTTTAAAAAAATCTATAGCTTAAATCTCGAGATTTAATATTAAGATGGTGCAATTATAACCATTTCAATTCATTCTAATTTATATCGATGACTAAAGGTCATGTTTGATTGCATATAGTGTTATTAGAAATTTAGAATAAGATAAAGGTAATATAGCATGTTCATGTTATTTTATATTTGATGAGATAGAAATATACAACGTTTTTCTAAATCTTGCTGCAACTAGGTATATATATTATTGTATTATTCTATTATTTATTTTGTCCCCTATTTTTCATAAAATAATATTAAATATATAAATTTCCCCGTAATTTACACATATATCAAGATGTTCGAATTTTTAAATTGCAAAACTATACATCATATTATAAAAATTATTCCTAACCAACTATATCAAATATAATATTATTTATACATAATATAATACTCCCTCTATCCACTTTTATTTGTCGTGCTGCGTTTTTCAAAAATCAATTTAACTAATTTTTAAAGTTAAATTAGATAACATTAATTTGATATTTTAAACAAAAAATTTAGATATTCAAAAACTATTCAAAAAGTACTATAAATTGCAATTTTTTACATATCAATATAATGAAAAAAATACATCATAAAATATTAGTCAAAATTCTTATCATTTCACTCTAGAAAAGAAAATCATGATAACCAAAATTGGACGGAAAGTATTAAATTTTAGCATATAAAGTTAATTATTAAATTTGGGTTATATTTAAACTTTGTAGAAAATTACTTTTCTCGAAATGGTTTTTTCCAAAGCAAGCATGATCGATTTAAAGTTTAATCAAATAAATTATTATGATATAACTATAAACAATATTGAATATAAATATATATATTTATATAAATAAAAACACCTATCATGATATTATAAAGCTCAAACTCGTGAAATTAGATAATTTTGAATTCAAGCAATTAGTATTGATTGATAATAATATCAGGAAATGAACGTTCTTTTGTACTTTCAGACTTAATAGAACTATCAATAAGGGTTGTTGTAGATTGGTAAGTACTCCTTCATCTTTAATCAACAGTTATGGATTTGAGTTACTCAGAATACAAAATCACCTATGTTAGAATACCTTTTATCCTAATGTAAGACTTTTCTGTACGAATTTGTATTTAATCGAATTCTAATAAGAAGGACACTGGAAAAGCACTACCACGTTGGTAGGTTCCTACGGTCCAATCAACTTAATATCGTGTCAGCAAGCCTTATTTTTATCGACCATAATGGCATAAAATTCTCACAATGCCACAACTAACAAAATTAATTATCAAAGATAGTGACACAACATGTAGAAAAAATAAAATAAAAAATGGACACAATTGTCAACATTGCACTGCTTTGAATGTTGAAATTAATACTAAAGCTAAGGTTGCTCATGACATAGAATTCTAAAATTTCACCAAATTTTTCCAACTACTTATACACCTTTTAGATTAAGATTTAACGATTCATCTTAATTTAAAATTTTATAATCATTAAAAAATAATTTATTTTTTTTGTTTGATATATTCGTCTTTTTGGATTATGAGTAATAGGATAAATCCAAAAGATTTGAACAGTTTTTACTTATACTGAATACGAGTAATTGTAAACCACTTGTCCAAAGATTTATATTTATATGACTTTTCAAGGTAGGGACAAAACTAAAATAATAATCAACCAAATCTCACTCCATTTTTGTCCTATAAATACCATCTAAAACTTTCATTATATCACACACACTTCAAAGCATTATATTCATCTTATCCTTTCTCTTTCATTTTTTTTTCAAAAGGCAAATATTTAATCAAACATTATGGGTGTGAATACTTTTACTCATGAGTCCACAACCACAATTGCCCCAACAAGGCTATTCAAAGGTTTGGTTCTTGATTTTGACAGCCTTGTACCTAAATTGTTGTCACATGATGTTAAGAGCATTGAGGTTGTTGAGGGAGATGGTGGTGCTGGAAGCATCAAGCAAATGAACTTTGTTGAAGGTTTGTTTTAAATTTATGATCTTGGTTAAATCATAATTTTTTTCGATTTGATGTTCGATATTCATAATGAACCTGAAATTTGTCAAAATCTCATATTATTAAAAGACATACCTATAGAGAGAGGTGACATAGTTAGTTCATCAACCTAACATGTCTAATCCACCCGAGTTTGGGAAAGTTATTGACCTACTCGTCTATTAGCTTAGTCGGTAAGAAATTAAACTAATATACGGTCTAAATTAACTCATGAGAACTCTTTTGTTAGAATAATTTTTTATTTGATATGTTACACAGTTAAAATAAAGAAAAACATAACATAGTTTTACAAGGTACTATAAAAATTTATATAAAAAAAACAAACAAAGCAACTAAAACTAGTAATAATTGGACATGTTGTGTTATATGACTCGTATGATAGTCTATTTTAGCTTAAGTAACTTTTGAACTGATCAATAACTCGTTTATTTATTAACTCAATCTATTTTGACCCTGTTGTTTGAATAACCTCATAGTGTAAAAAATTATTACTAACATTCATGATATATATGAAACTTAATTTATTTATTTTTTAATGACAGGTGGTCCAATTAAGTACTTGAAGCACAAGATTCATGCGATTGATGACAAGAACTTAGAAACAAAATATTCACTTATTGAAGGTGATGTTCTTGGAGACAAATTGGAATCAATTGCCTATGATGTCAAATTTGAAGCTGCTGGAGATGGAGGTTGTGTTTGCAAGACAACAACTACGTATCACACAAAAGGTGATTATGTTGTTAGTGAAGAAGAACACAATGTAGGCAAAGGGAAAGCCATTGACCTATTCAAGGCCATCGAAGCGTACCTCCTTGCTAATCCTTCTGTCTACGCTTAAGTGATGAAATATGAATCAGATCCACACGTGAGAGATGATCAGGACGTGTTGCGATATTATATAATTAAATATAATTATATATACGTGTGTTATTTCTAAAAAGTTTAAACTTTTAGCTGAGACGAAAAAGTTTGATCAAAAGTTCCATGGGCTTGAGTTTTTACATTGTTATAGTTTTTTGTTGTGTGTTTTGTTCTTTCCAATTGTATGACATGGAAAGAACTTCCAATAAATAATATTGAAAGCTTTGCTTTCTTTTTGCTTGTACCAAGCCTTGATATATCCTTTTCAATTATATTATATGAAGCCCAAGGCACAATTTGTGAAAATTTTAAGACGTCAACAATTTTCAAAACTTGAATTGAATTATTAGTTTCATTCTCAAATTATTGACAATTTTAAAACCACTTTTTTATTTGATTAATTCAATTTAAATATATTCCGATCTTTCACATGACATAGCAAGTGGTCTCAAAATTGTATAGGAATCTGAAACTCTTAATAAAAACACCACTAAACTTAACGAGAATTTAAGGGTGTATTTTACTCATGTGACAAGATTATGAACGTCTCTAAGTTCAGTTAGTTGAGTAGAGGTGTTTTTCGGGCAGTCAAAATAGTTTGGGAACAAAACTAATAGTTCACGGCAAATTTAGGGGTTTTTCAACAAAAAAAGTATATGTCTATATTTGTGTGAGTATTCATCCTATTTTCTCCGTTTTACAATACTTGATCCTTGTTGACGTTTACATATCTCGAAATATTTAATTAGAGGTGTATTTTACTAACTAACATTATTATTGAGATTTTGGAACACTAAATTTGTATATTCAACAAATATTTATAACGTATTTTAGATCACAAGTTTCAAAAGTCTTTTATGTTCTCTTAAATTTTGTGTCAAGTCAAACTATATCACATAAATTGAATCAAAAGGAGTGATAAACAACTAATTTCGACCATCTATAGTATAGTTCCTTACTTCTTAGGATATCATCATAATAACTAATAAGCATGGATGATGGATCCGAGTATGTAGTTATTTCTCTCCTGATATCTCAACGAGCCTATAGAAGATGGAGAGAGGTGAATTTAGAATTTGAACTCGGTATATTCTGTTGAGATATCAAAATTAATGGCGTTGCATACTTTGACGTTGTCAAAGTTCCACATTAAAATTAGGTCTCAAATTTGGAGAAAATATTTTGGATGTCCTAATCACAACAAGAGTCAGTAAAGATGGAATAGACTAGACAGCAATCTGATAAGAGTTTCTTTTTTTTTTGTTTACTATGATAAAAGAGAAAAAAAATTAGTAATACATAATATAAAATAATCAAATGACAAAACTAATTAATTTTCATAATAATAAATTAAACATAATCTAAGAAATATTAAAGTTATTCAAATAAAATATTTTATGTAGTTCAATAATGGTTCAATTAGCAATACTTGTTGGGTAAACGCAAGGCAAAAAACTTTCAGTCTCTAATGAATGAACGATTTTATTTTTTTCATGTTCGATCTTCGTATTAGGATCTGATTAAATTTAAATTTATATAATGTCAGGTCTTTTTCTAGAGATGATGCTCTCTACAAAAAAATTATTTTTCCAAAAAGGCAATTCAAATTTGAGATTTCTAATTAAGAATAGAGATCTCCCAATAATTGTCTTTTATTAAACATGTGCAACATCTCAAGCATACTAATTAGTATAAATATTTTTAAAATAGTATAAATAATAGGCAGAATGACCTGAAAGACCCTTGTACTTGGCTCATTTTGTCAGTTGAACCCTCATACTCATCACTTTGCCAACTAGACCCTTAAATTCATTAGAAAACAACATTTTAAACCCTTTTCTCCTCTGGTCAGAGTTCGTGTAATGGACGCGATTACACGTGAAATTCCACATCATTTTTAGTGCCACATGCGAAATTAAGTGCTAAAAAAATTTAAAAAATCAAATAAATCAATTTTTTAATTTCTTTAACTTTTCAAATAGTCATCTTCTTCATATTTGGTCACAAATTGAGCACTAGATTCATACCCATCAGATCAAATTCTTCTTGATTTAACTTGTAAATTCAACTACAAGTTCACCAACACAAACTCAATGAACCCCAATCAAAAAATTTAAGTAATTTTACAAATTCACAAGACCCATTTATTATTTTTTAAGCTTTTTCAAACTTATCAATGGAGTTTTAAAATTTTCAATAGTCACAATCATCCTTCACAATGATTTGTATAAAAAAAAAAAAAAAGAAGAAGAGGCGGAGAAGAGTGAATGTGGGGGTGGAGAAATAAGAATGGGCCGGAGAAAGAAGAAAGGTGAGGGCTGTGGTGAGGGGTAGAGGAGAGAGGGCTGGTGAAGAAGAAGAAAGGGTGGGTGTGGGTGAAGGAGGGTTGAAGAAGATGATTTTTTTTAAAATTTTGTTAAATTGATTTTTTTAAAAGTAAAATATTGTTTTAACTCGTTTTTAAGCGCGTGTAATCACGCATATTTCCAACTCACCAATATTAATGTCACATAAGCTCGGTCAATGGTCAGAGGAGTTTAAAATATTGTGTTTTGATGAGTTTAAGGGTTTGATCGGCAAAGTGATGGTAGGAGGGTCCAACTGACAAAAGAAGTCAAGTACAGGGGTCTCCCAAGTCATTCCGCCTAAATAATATTAGAATATGTATATGATGAGTTGCACGATATATATTATAATTTGCATCCAAACATGACATAATTCCTACTTTCACATTAGCAATATTGGCTTTACTTATAGTCAATATTTCTACACTTGTAAAAGATTTCACTTTTAGACAAAAACATCGATAAGAGTTCGAAAAAAAAGGCAAAATAAAATATTTCAAGATAATAAATTATTATTAGATCATTTAAATATATTTAAAAATAATCTGAAAAATAAAACATATAACTTATATTAATAGATAAATATATATTGATAATATAAAATTTTCTTATACTTACTATATATATAACTTAAATTCATAATTATTTTTTATTCTAAACATAAATAAAGAAAACAGTTTGCAGAAACTATATGCGGAAAGTCGTTTAAAACCATATCCTTAATTAATTTATATTATCCTTCACACCTACCCACCCAATTACCAAAAGGCAACAAGCAATAACTTATTATTATTCATCTTATTTTATGTGAAAATATCATAAGTTAGGTAACTTTTTTTTACTTTATATTTTCAAATTAAACTTTTTAAAAGATATTTAATGATCAACTATGTTGACTTGTTATATCGATCCAGATCAATTCGTAATTTAATAAAGTTGGACAATTTTATTTTTTATTTTTTGAATCCATCTAAAAATAAAGTTTTTATAGCTCAGGCTGAGTCCGTTTGTTAGTAACGCTTGAGCAAGGTAGATTGTCTTGATTATATTAAAATCTAAATACAATATTATATTTATAAAATATGTAAATAAAAAAACACAAAATTCTTTAACTTTTGAATTGTATCATATAAAAAGTTATTCACTTTCACAAATTTTTTATGTCCAATAATCATTTTTTATTATAATTATAATACCCAATTTTTTTGTAATAAAGTCATACCATCAAAGTTTAATTTAAAACCAAATTCAACAAATATTATTTAAAATTATTTTATTTGTATAATTTATCTTGATTTTAATTAATATCATTATCTATTACTCTAAATACTAAGAAAAAACACAAAGCATTTGGATATATATGACACAATTTTGATATGGAGTATACTTTAATGTGTCATCGGGCCTCATTGTTAGACCATTTTGTCATGAAGTTATCCAACGCCACAACCAACAAATTAATTTGAACTAAGTGACGCAACCGGAATATATATTTTCATTTTTCATCTGATGTTCGATATTATTTTCAATCTCGATTAATTTGAAAATTTGTATAGTGTAAAGTTTGTTAAAAGAGAAAAATATTTTTTTTTAGAATCATCTTCATTTAGGAATCAAATTTAAGATATATCTGATTAAGAATAAAGTTGTTTTCATCTTTAGAATTCATAATTCAAAAACTTCGATTAAGAGCGGTGATAGAGATGAATGTAACAGATTCATTTGAATCTAATATTTTTAACGTGAAATACAATAAATTCATAAAAATTATGTGCAACAAATAATAGATAGTATAAACTCATAACTTCGAAATATAATGAATTTAAAGCATAAAATTTAAATTCTAATTTCACTACTTACGACGCGATAACCATCACCATCTAGAAAAAATAATATAGAGGTCAAGAATGGCCTACTTTGAATATTGAAATTAACATTAAAGCTAAGGTTGGTGATGACTTCAAACTCTTAACTCTCACTCTATTTTATACCCTATAAAAATAAATACCATCTAAAACTTAAACATTACATCCCACAACTCAAAACTAGCTAGCATATTAATTTCACTTCTTATATATATTCTCTTTTTAATTACTAAAAAAAAGTTGAAAGAAAATTAACACTATGGGTGTCACTACCTATACACATGAAGCCACAAGCACAGTGTCCCCTACTAGGTTGTTCAAAGCTTTGGTTGTTGATGCTGACAATCTTATCCCTAAATTGATGCCAAATGTTAAGAATGTTGAGACTGAGGGAGATGGAAGTATCAAGAAGATGAACTTTGTTGAAGGTAATATAATTAGTTTTACATTTATCATTTTTACTACCTAGCTAGTTTAAATGAACGATCTGATTGTATAAATATCTTTTGTATATCGTTAGTGTATACGATTAATTATATTATATTGGAGTGACGAGTTAAAAATACATTTAAAGTATATCAAGTTTTTGAGTTTCATATTTGAACTATCATGTGTATGAGTTTCCTATCTTAGACTATCATCAAATTTCTCGAAACACATTTGAACTATCAGTCGTTCATTTTCTCTACATGAAATATCACTATTGATCAAATAAGAAAAGTGAAAAATTGATAGTTCAAGTGTGTTTTGATATGCATGTGAGTTCCATACATGGACTATCATCAAATATTTCTCGAAACACATTTGAACTATTTTTTCTACCTGAAATATCATTATTGTTCAGATAAAAAAATTGAACAACGGATAGTTTAAGTATATTTTGATAAATATTTGGTGATAGAAACTCACACATTTGATAGTTTAGATATAAAACTCACTAAAAAAAGAAGATATAAAACTCAAAAAATTAGAATACTTTAGATGTGTTTTTAATAGAATACAATAGATTTCAACTCGTTCATTTAACATATCTATAGATA